GCTTCGTGCAGAAGTTCAGAAGCTGAATTCTCTGCGGCAGGAACTTGCTGGCCAGGTTCAGAATCTCACACAAGAACTGAAAAGGGCACAAGCTGATAACAAACAGATCCCTGCTATGAGGACTGAGATTGATGGCCTGAAGCAGGAGCTTGTGCGTGCAAGGTTGTATCTATAAGAATTATTTGCATTCCAGTGACATTTGACTGTTTTTTACCTATCTTACATTCAGAATGGTGGTCAGGCACGTCAACAGATTTTGACCTTAATTTTTTTTCTTGCTAGGGCTGCTTATGAGTATGAGAAAAGGGGGAATGTTGAGCTTCTGGAACAAAGGCAGGCAATGGAGAAAAACTTGGTTTCCATGGCGCGTGAAGTTGAAAAGTTGCGTGCAGAATTTGCAAACAATGATGGGAGATCATGGGGTGTGGGACCTGTGGGTAAGTAGCTATCCATTTACATTTTTGGCTGCAGAAGTTGGTTATGGAGAGTATGTTGCTCAATTCTAGTTGTTTGCCTTCTTTCATTTACGTTGATGTTTATGTTATGTTTACTTTTGCCTTATTTCCCCCCCATAAATGAGCTATAAATTCTGGCATAATCATCTTATTCATTATTGATTGGCGAAATTCGTTATTTAACTTAAGGAGAGTAGACCTTAACATTTGTTATGATGTTAATTGTGGATACACCCCTGTATTACAGGAGTTGGCCACCTATTTCCCTTATAATTTTTAAAAACTGTTGGACCCCTGTTAGACCCCCTGATGTCCAAGCAGAGTTATCTTCTCAATCAATTGTCCCTATTTCCCTTATAATCATCTGCTAAGTCTAGATTCATTTGACCCACCTCTTCGTCTCATCCCACCGCAAGACATTAACGTCACATTATACTTACATGACATGAACAGATAGGGGAGAGAAAACTGTTTTGGGATCATGGGTTCACAGTGCTTATAAAGAAGTGTAGGGGTAATAAGTGGCTAAGCCTCTACAGTATAGGGGTTTATCTGCAATTCCCCCTTTTATTAGGTGAGATCTGTACTATGCCGTGTCATGTACAATGCCATTATATCATGTTATATAGCTTAACACCGTTACCAGCTTTTGCAGTTTTTAGTCATAAGTTGGTTGGACAAACTGCCTCATCTGCTAAGTCTAGATTCATTTGACCCACCTCTTCGTCTCATTCACCTTTGTGTTTTTTACTTTAATATTTTTCATTTATTTTAAATATTAAGCTCTCTTTTTCTGTAATTATTATGATGATTATTATTTCTAATCATGGCTAATAAATGGTAGCTATTAGTTACTTAACGTTTTTATCTTAATTTTTGCTGTGAACCTACTGTTGAAGGTGGAGCTTACGGGATGCAAGTGGCCAGCTCTGATGCACCTTTCCCTCCTTCATACGGTGATGGATTCGGCATTCATTCTGTATGATTACATTTCTATTTCCTTTCTTCATTTTCTGGAGTCTTTATTTCCACTTTCTGATTAATTACTTTACAATTATA